TCCTTTCCTTCGTTTTTTATTCTACCATAGTTTCCCTACTCCCACCATTGTTTTTTCATGATGTTGAGTGAAGAGAGCAACCCAGTTTCCTTACAGACACACCTTCTAGATTTGTCTAATTGTTCCCTGATGGTCTCATTACACTAATTCCTTCAACTGGATTTCTGTAAATTGGAAGTTAGATTTACATACTTAATTAGATGCAGATTAAGTCCCTTTGGGAGGGATACATGGGTGCTGATGAGTTATTGCTTAGCAGGAAATGCTTCTGTGTGACCCCAAATGGAGGTCGCTGACCAGTAGATAGGTAGGAGGTGTTTTCTTGCCCAGAATTAAAGGAGAGAATATAGGGTGAGTTTTCTGATACACTCCCTTGCCTTTTGTCCTTCCTTCCGGGACCCTAGTGAGATGAGGAAGAAGGGAATGGTCTTGTTGGCTGCTTCAGGGACCCAGCCCACATCTCTCCCATTCAAATCCCCCTCACCATCACTGCAGGTGCGTGGGCACTGAAGCCGGACACGTGCCTTTTCTAGAATCCCTTTTCAGCTGTTCTGGTGGCAAAGACTTGAAGACCCTGCTCCAAGATTTCTGTGGTGGCGGCTGGGCTATAATTCAGGAGATGGTAGAACAAAGAGCTGCTTTGGCTCCTGACACTAACTACCCAGACTTAGGCCAAACTTCACCAGTTAAGGCACAGTCCTGCGGAAGGCTGCTTGCACTTTAGATACCGGCTGCAAGTTTGGGAGTTCCCAGGCCATCCTCACTTCTGACCAGCTGGTTACAAGTTCAGGGGTTCCCACCACCTCAATAATTTACCAGACTGGCTCACAGAACTTAAAAAAGTGCTCTGCTTGCGGTTGCAGTTTGATTATAGCAAAAGGATACACATCAGAAGCAAACAAAAGAAGGTCTGGGAGGGGTCCAGGTGTGAAGCTTCTGGTCATCCTCCCCCTGGAGTCATGGATGGTGTTACCTCCTTCCAGTTATGATGTATGAGTCGGCAGTAGCCTTGCCAACCAGGGAAGTTTACCCAAACCTTTGTTGTCCAGAGTTTTAATCTGGGCTCAATCACATGCTGCCTTTAGTCTCCAGCCCCCCATGAAGTTTCGGGCTAATACCTGTAGTCTCTAGTTCCTCCAAGGGTCAGTACTTATGCGATGCTCTCCAAAGCCCTTATAAATCATTGTCCAGTTCCCCAAGCCCCCAGGCAAACAGAGGCGCTCAAGTCAGGCAGGATATTCCAAGGGCCCTAGAGATTCCCTTGTGAGGCAGAAGGTAAAAGCCTGACCTCTCTTTGTGTTAATTCCTCACTACCTAAGAGCTGTGGTTCATCTGCTTTCAGAAAGTAGTTTTGCTGTCTCTGAGATTCTGTGGTTCCATCTCCCCAGCCCTGGGATCCCGGGCAGCAAACCTAACATTTGTCTGGGCCTCAGTTTCTTCCTCTATGGGTGAACTTATTGACCAGATGACCTCTGAGGTCTCTCCCGGTTTTGGAACTCTTTCTTCCAGATAATGCTGGAGGGAAGGGAAAGCAGGGAATGGCTGTTTTCAGTAGAGAGGCCCAAGTTTGCGGCCACTTGGGAGATGCTGGGAGAGCTGGGGGCTGAGTGGAATGCTGCTTGCCTGAATGCATTTGGGAACAGAAAACAAACCCATTTTCCTGGGGGCTGGTAGAGAAGCCTGCTCCTTGCATTAAGGGCTTCTGTCACGACTGGTAAGACAGGGAGTTTTTAGAATCATTTCATTAGGAAGAAAAAAAATTCATGATGACCTCATCTCTCCTGTGTTCTTTTGGACCTTCACCTCCCAATTTCCCAGGTGTGACTTTGTCTACATGATGAAATGTACACTCTTTACAGGGGACGATGGCAGCACATAGGGGCAGTATTATTGATTTCCTCCCAGACTTACTCATGTTTTCCTAAGAGGTGGATATGGTGACAGGATGGATTGGCGGTTGACTATTCCGGGACTAGAAATCAGTGTAGCAAATTGAATTTAAAAAGAAAGAACTCAAGAAGGAAGACAGGCTGCTTTCTCAAGTA